ATATATATATATGTTTTATATACATGTATATATATATAATTACAGAAGATGCTGTTCTCTCATTTCCACATCTTCCTCTTCTTTTTTTTCCCTTTTTTTGGAGAGGTTTTTGCTATAGGGTCCGTGCGCTCGCCAGAAAGACAGAGAGAGATAGAGAGATAGAAAGCGAGAAATCACCCCCCGGGGGGATGGCCACGCCACAATCCTTTCTCCTCCACTCTCCTCTCGAGATCTTGGAAACGCACGCACGCGCGCCCGGCTTCAGTTTTAAGCCACCGGGTCCGGGACGCAAACCGCGGTCGACTAAGTGGGAGTCCAGCAACATAGCCATTATGCTAACTGCTGGTCCCATCTTCCTCTTCTTCAATACCTCCGATATAAAGGACATTATTACACCTTACTAAAACTTCACCCAGACAATGCTCCATCTATGTATTTTTCTGTATTTGCAAGCTACATGTGCATATAGCCATCTGTAGATACCAGGTAGCCCTTATACTTCATTCTCCACTTGAGTTTCACCCTCACTAACTTTCCTGTTACTCCATTGAGGGAAGGTTTAGGTTGAGAGGTAAGCTCATTGCAATAACAGGAGAACGCTGCAGGCTCCTCACCACCGACCGTGCTGTTGCTGGTCCTGAGTGACTGGAGCAACTATGGTAGGCCTTAAGTCTAGTAGCTTTGTCCTTACTCTGTCACTCTTTGAAACGTTTCACAATCTTTAAGAATACCTAAGGAGGGACCAGCAGATGGTGTAATGGTTACATCGTTGGACTCTCATGTCATCACTGCAGTTGGAGTCTTGGACCCCATGACTTAAAACTCATGTTGTGCGGATGTGCATGTGTGCCCAAAATCCCAACAGGAGACTGGAGGAGAAGGGATTGTGGTGTGGCCATCTGCCTTGGGGGCTGATTTCTCGCTTCCAGTCTCTCTAGCAAGTGCACGCACCCTATAGTAAAAATCTCTCTTCTAAAAAAAAGAATACCTCAGGATATTGCAGTATGACCATCTCCCCCTTGGGAGGGTGACTTCTCATTTTTCCTCTCTGTCTCTCTCTAGTGAGCACACGTGGCCTATGGCAGAAACTTTAAAAAGGCAATAATACATCAGGGCCAGCCCATGTCCTGGTCGTTAAGGGTGTTGGACCCTATTTGGCCAGTTGTGTGACTTGACGCCCAGCAGGTGTGGTTCAAGCCCAGCAGCTTAAAGAACATCTTGCATACATATGTGTGCATATGTCCAAAATTTTAAAGGAGAGAAAGGCAGACTAGCAGGGATTGTGGCATGACCATGAGCCACGGAGAGGTCCTTTCTCAATTTCTCACTCTCTCTTTGTCTCTGGCAAGCATACATGCCCTCTGGCGAGAATTTTTTAAAAAGGAAAAAGAATATATCGTCTTTACTTCTATTTATTTGTTAGTCCGCGGTTATGTTGCTTACAGAAAAACTGAAACTGAATGATTTATAAAGAATAGAGGTTTATTTGACTCACAGTATTGGCTGAAAAGTCCAAAGGCCAGGGCTTGCTTGGGCTGCCTATGTTACAAACATAGCAAACAGAAGCAGAGAGGATGGTAGTTACATGCAGAGAAAGCTAAATGATGGGTAGCCAGCTTCCTTATATAACAATTCACTCTTAGGAAACTAACCTTCTTTCATGAAAGCTAGTACTCCATTCATCTTGACAGACATTAATCCATTCACAAGGGCTTACCTTACCCTCTGTGATCCAATCACCACCTACTAGGCCTTAACTTAGTAGGCCTTATGCCATTTTATTGCTTTATACTAGGGACCACATTCCAAACCATGAACCTTTGTGGGGGAAACCATTATGGAAACCTTAGTAGTCATGTGTGAGATGTAGCGATTTTTAAAAATTCATGTATGATGGCTTTCTGAAAATTTTATCCCGAGGCTCAGGTACTCGCGTGTGTAATACTGATAGAATAATAGGTTTTTTCTTTTTATTTGTCTTACATGAGTCATTTGCTACATCTTTTAAAGTCTTACTTGAAAGTCTAACTTGCATAATTATGAGGTCATTCCCTAAGAGTAACTAAATCAGTTAAATTTTGTGATTCTCTTTTTCATTGAGTCAGGTGACCTGTGAGCATTCAGGTCTAGGACTGGTTTCAAGCGCATGCGTCTTCCCTCAAACAGTGCTTAAAATTAAGAAATTGAGTGTTCTGTAATAGACGAGACTACAAAGACTCGGGTATAGTCATTCCTTCATTTCTTTTTCTTCTTTTTTCTTAAATTTTTTTATTTAAAATTTTTTTTTTGTTTTTACTATAGGGCATGTGCGCTCTTTGGAGAAAGAAAGAGGGAAAGTAAGAAATTATCCACCAGAAGGGATGGCCATACCACAATCCCTTTTCTATTCTCTTCTTGGGATTTTGTGCACACACAAGTCTAGCGTGTTTTTTAAGCTGCTGGGTCTAGGACTTGAACCACGCAGCTGGCCATGTGAGATCTAGCGCCTTAATCTCTGCCACCTACTGGCCTTCATTACTTCATTTCTAATGGATTGCTTTTGGTGTAAACATTAATAGCTTCAGATTTAAGACTAGTACGTTGAAAGTAACATAGTAGTTAGATATTTAACAAGAGCAAAGCTATTTTAATGTCTCTTAGCTGTGCTGTGGTATACTTTTAGAGATTATCTGTTTATTCCCTTTTCTTCTATTTACCGCAGGTGTATATTTGCTCTGTGTGCCAAAATGTTTTCTGTGTGGACTGCGATGTTTTTGTTCATGATTCTCTTCACTGTTGTCCTGGGTGTATTCATAAGATTCCAGCCCCTTCAGGTATTTGATTCCAGTATGCAGTACACATTGTATGTTGTAAAAAGAAATTTACAATCATAAATAAAATAACACAGCTATAAATAAAGTAACAAGCTCCAGTTAAAACATGAAGAATATTTTGAAAAGAAAATCTAATTTAAGATAAATTTTGCTAAGAAAATGTAATATTTTACTAAATGTTTTATTTGTGTCCTGTCATAGAAATGCCTGGAATTGATGGTACTTTATTCTATTAATTTTATTTTCTATTATTTAGAGTCATAATGTTCTCAAAGTTCTTATGCAGTATTATTATTATACATATAAATTACATGTAATGATTAAATTGATGTGATCATTTTATTGTTTTATTAAAATTTCAGAATCTTGATTTTATTTAGTGTAAGAAGAAAATAAGTGTAAATATAAATTCAGAGTGAGATGGAAATTAATCAGTGCTAATGAAATTAATACATACGAAATAATATACTACTACATTCACCAAAGAGGTTTTTTTAGGCTTAAGTAGTTATAAAATCAACGCATCTGAAATAATTTGTAGTTATGACCAACAGTCTGCTTAGATTAAACACCGAAACTCACAAGACTGCTACGACCACACTTGGCACCAGTTAAAAGGATTTTTACATTTGCTTGAGGACGTGTGTGCTTGCTGCTGGTGAGGGTGGGTTGAGGGGTATGGAGACAGAAAGTAAGAAAGGATGCCCCATAGGGAATGGTTGTGCTGCAATCCCTCTTCTCTGTTTTTCCTTCCTTTTGAGATTTTGCCCAGTATATTTTTCAAACCACCAGGTCATGGATTCAAACCATGTCGTTGACGGTGTGAGATCCAGCCACCTTAACCACCAAGCCATAGGCTGGCCCAACTTAAAAGAATATTAAACATAACAACAACTTGCCAGCTGAGCAGCATCAAACAGTCCTCACTGGTGCGGACTCCTTTAGCAGTTCACCTAGCAGATCAGGAGCAAGGAGCAGAGGTCCTCCACAGGCACCAAGGAGCCAAAATCTCTTTTAACAATTACATAAGCACAGCTTCCCTTAAGTGACCTGTCCATTTCTAGAGTAACCACACTCAAGAAAGGCTAAACCACTAGGTCTTCATCAAATTATTTGTTGTACATCCCAATCTAAATACAATATAGCAATCAGAAATCATTTTTACTATCAGCAAAGTTGCCTAGAAAGCATTTGACATTCTTACCTTTGTTGATTACCATGGTAACAGAGTTAGAAAGCTTAACTAAAGATGAGATTCAAATTAAGTTAAGCAAAAACCCTTTCGTTCTTATATGATAAATCATTACTTTAAAGCTCACTCTGTAAGGGCAGGCCCTGAACCTAGTAGTTAAAGGAGCCAGATCCTGCATGCCTGCCATACTTCAAAGCCCAGCTATGATAGCTTGAAAAACATACCAGGCATGTGTACCAGCATGCCCCAAATCCCAACAGGAAGGAGAAATGGAGGAGCAGGGATTGTGATGTGGCCATGCCCCATTGGTGGGTGCTTTATCTCTCTCTCTCTCTCTCTGGTAAGTGGATGCACCATTTGATAATTTAAAGTATATGTATATAAATTTATACATACATATTTTTAAAATCTTACTCTGTAATAATTGGTAAAGTATTTTACTTAATGGAATATTTCTAATACCAACACTGTGGTTGATTGGTCTCTAAGGCTGGTTTACTGTATAGTTCAGGCTAATGAAGCCACGGTTGTGTCTATTTCCTGTTACCCTCACCGCATGTCATACACAGGGACTATTTAAATGAATCTTTCTCAACTTCCTACTCTGTGTTACTAGAGAAACTTACAGGAAAATGTATGGTGAAGTCCATGCTTTAGGTTCAATGTAGACATGTCATTCTAGGCAGAACTCTTCAAGGTATACTCTACTTGAGAGTGAGTTGGGACCAGCAGACCGCGTAATGGTTACATCACTGGACTCCCATGTAGTTGACTATGGTTTGAATCCCGGAACTATTGGCTTGAAACTCATGCCAGGCACATGTGCATGCATGCCCAAAATCCAGAGAGGAGAATGGAGAAGGGATTGCAGCACAGCCATCTCCCTTGGAGGGTCATTTATTGCTTTATGTCTCTCTGGAAAGTACACATGCCCTATGGCAAAATATCTCCAAAAAAAAAAAAAATAGTGACTCAGGTTTCCATAGCAAAAATATGTATTTTATTATCACACTAGATTTTATTTCACTATGAAATATGGAATATTTTTTTTTTTTTGCTATAGGCACATGCGCTCGCCAGAAAGAGACAGACAGAAAGCGATAAATCACCCCTCCCAGGGGGGACGGCACACTGCAATCCCTTCTCCTCCATTCTCTTGGGATCTTGGGCACGCACACACACGCACCCAGCATGAGTTTACACCGGGTCTGGGACTCGAACCGCTGTCGACTTCATGAGAGTTCAGCGACATAGCCATTATGCCAACTGCTGGTCCCTGAAATTTTGGATTTGATAAATAGTTCTTAGTGAGAAACATTGTCAGTAAAGACAATATAATCCCCTCCTAGAGAGTCTATTCCAACAATCTTGGGTGAAACCCAGGAATATGGATTTCTTAAAACACACACATACATAACAACATAGTATGACCAGACTAATGGGAGTTTCTCTCAAAAATTATATTACCTCGGGAACCAGCAGTTAGCGTAATGGCTATGTCGCTGGACTCCCACATAGTTGACCGCGGTTCACATCCTGGACCCAGTGGCTTAAAACTCACGCTGGGCGCATGTGCGTGTGTGCCCAAGATCCCGAGAGGAGAATGGAGGAGAAGGGATTGAGGCGTGACCATCCCCCCTGGGGGGTGATTTCTCGCTTTCTGTTTCTCTGTCTCTCTCTGTCTGTCTGGCGAGCGCATGCGCCCTATAGGGAAAACCTCTCCAAAAAAAAAAAAGAAGAATCATATTACCTGCACTTAGACTCTTTGGCACTATATGAAAACAAATTTCAGCTATGAGGAACCTGTTAAATGCTATCCTTTTCCTTCTGCTCTATCAACACAAGTATTAGTGGTGGGCCAGCCAGTTGGCATGGTGGTTAAAGTGACTGGATCCCACATGACTGACTGTGCAGTTTGAGTTCCTGGGCATGAAAAACACTCTGGGCCATGTGTATGGGATGTGCCCCATTGAGGGGGTGCTTTCTCCCTCTTCCTCTCTCTCTACCTTTCCCTAGGTAGTTCATGTACCCTCTGGTGATTACAACCTGTCCCCCCCCACCCCCGCAAAGAAAAACAAAACCCACAAACTTCCTTTTTAAATTATTTATTTAATTTTATTTGTTGTTATTTTTAACTTGACCAGAGAGAAGAAAAGTGAGAAAGCAAGCTGACAGGTCTGGAACAAGAGCTGCAGTCGCTCATGTGGAAGTTTAGCACTTTAACCACCACACCACCTGCCGGCCCTCCAAACTTACTTTTTTAATGAAACAAAACATTGACATGACAAAATAATTATGGGCCAGCAGGGCTTCTGCTGGTCAGAATGGCAGTGGGAAAAAACTGAAAGGATTTTACAAGATTTTCCAGTACTTGATACCTTCCTCATGTTGTGGTCTTGTCCATGTTCAGCTGTCTGTGTGCTAATAATGGTTGGCAAATTTGTAAGATGAAGTAACTTCATGAGTGGCAAGAAGGAAAGGGTGTGACCAGCTTTTGGGTAGTGGGTTAGTGGAATACCAAGACAGAATTTAGGAGAAAAGTTTGAGTCCATGGGGCCTATAGTAAGGAAGAAAAGGGCACAGGAGGTTGTCACACTTCTGAGAGTAGTCTTAGGTGTGCCCTAGTACTCCTTTTGGGTCTAGGTCTATAAGGACAGAGGGTTCATTATTTGCACGGTATATAATTCTGTTTTGGAGAGAGGTATTACCAGATGGGCTGGGATTCTACTGGGGTCCTTATGAGATTAAAATTTTTGATTTCACGTGACTGAATTGAGTCCCACCTCAGACTAGGACCCTGCAAACAGTATAGAGTTTATTCATTCATTAATTCACTTAGCAAACCTTGAGAGGACATAAACCCTAACCTCATGGATCTGTGAAACTCCCAGTCTAAAAAAGCAGGAAGCTGGATGGTGGTGCAGCAGCCGTAGAACAGGCTGCTCTGCCAGTCCAAACCATATGGAAAGGTTCTGGGTTCCTACCTGGAGACTTCTCTGACTAGGTCAGGGCACACATGCCCCTGAAATGGAGCTGGCTGAGGCTGGGCTGGATCATAACATCAAGATCCAATGGAGGGACCAGCAGTTAACATAATGACTGTGTTGCTGGACTCCCATGTAGTCGACTGCGGTTCGCGTCCCAGACCGGGCGGCTTAAACATGCCCGGCGTGTGTGCGTGCGTGCCCAAGATCCTGAGAGGAGAATGGAGGAGAAGGGATTGTGGCATGGCCATCCCCCTTGGGGGGTGATTTCTTGCTTTCTGTCTCTCTTGTCTCTCTGTCTTTCTGGTGAGCGCACGCGCCCTATAGCAAAAACCTCTCCAAAAAAAAAAAAAGAAGATCCAATGGAGTTGCTGCCTCCTCCTTTCTCTGTCAGAAAAAGTAAATAAATTTTAAAAAGTTAAAAAAATAAAAGTTTCGTAAAATCCATGTGAAAGTGTTATCAATATGCCCAGTGCCATGGAAGTAGAAAGGAGAAGCTGTTCAGTGGGTTTGGATGCAGCTCAGATGTCTAAAGGGGCCTGGCAGGTAATGCGGGCAAGTGAAAAGGCACCAGAGTAATATAGCATGGTGGCATCTGCAAAGCACTTGTCCCATCCAAAGGAGGCAGCCTCTGAGCTGCTGGGGTCCAGAGGTAGAAGAGGGATACAATTTTCACTGTATATCTTTTTGTACCTTTTGAATTTTATACATATGCATTTGTTACCTAGTTCAAAAAATATAAAAGTTTTTAGAATGAGGTAACCCTTATTCAGCTGCAGTCTGTGTGGTAATGGAGGTCCTCTGTTGCTGCATAGCTTGATATTTAAAGAAAAGCTAAAAAACTGGATTTTTTCAAAAAGAGATTTTTGCTAAAGAGTGTGTGCACTTGCTGGAGAGGAAGTGAATCACACCCTACTCCCTGGGTGGGATAGCCATACTGCAACCCCTTCACTATTTTCCTCATGGGGTTTTGGGCACGTATGCACATGTGCCTCGTGTGTTTCAAGTGTCTGGGTCTAGGACTTAAACTGTGGTTGGCCATGTGCGGGTCCAGTGCCTCAACCACTGCACTGGCTCCAAACTCTGGATTTTTAAAGTGAATTCTCGGGGGCTGGCAGGTGATATGGTGGTCAAGGGTGCTGGACTTATGTCTAACTGCAGTTCAGGTCCTAAACCTGGTGACTTGGTTTCTCATTTTCTCTCTCTCGCTTTCTCTCTTGCTCTCTCCCTCTCTCTGTCCCTCTCTGGTCAAATTAAAATAAATAAATAAATGGATAAATAAATAAAATAAGTCTTTAAAAAAAGTGGGGGCTGGCAGGTGTCATGGTGATTGAGGCACTGAACTTCCACATGGCCAACCACAGTTCAGGTCCTGAACCTGGTGGCTTACCTTCTCACTCTCCCTTTCTCTCTGTCTCTGTCTGGTCAAAACTGAAGAAGAAGAAGAAATAAAATTAAAAATAAATAATTCCTTTTTTAAAATTTTAAAAATTTTTAGTGAATTCTCTGAAGTTTTGAATGTTGACGTTTAATTTATGGGCTAAATGGAATTTATCTTTGGGTCACGAGTTTACCAACAGCAGCCTGGCCTGTCTCTTCTCTGTACTTTATCGTTGGGGCAGATAATCTTTTGCCTTTCAGGTTGTACAGTTTCTTGGTATTTGGCCCTCTTAGGGGATAATTCAGGACAGGCTTGAGGCATTAAGAATTGACTCTTTGGGACTAGGAGTTAGTGTAATGGCTATGTCACTGGACTCTCATGTAGTCAACTGCAGTTTGAGTCCAGCTTGTTATTGATTATAAGAAAGAGAAAAAAAAAGAGTTGTCTGCCTTCAAGACAAGGTAACTAGTGATATTAGTCAGAAAATACAGGATAAGGAGGAAGTTTGTCAAGAGATTAGTTTTACATACTTTGAATTTGAGATGCTAATATCACAGTTAGCCTGGGGATGTTCAATGTTATGTATTTCTGGAATGCCGCAAAGAGGCATGAGTGCAAGATTTGGATTCCATAGTGTGATAGCTAACTTTTTTTTTTTTTGGAGAGATTTTCACTGTAGGGCGCGTGCGCTCGCCAGACAGACAGAGAGAGACATAGAGACAGAAAGCGAGAAATCACCCCCCAGGGGGGATGGTCACGCCGCAATCCCTTCTCCTCCATTCTCCTCTCGCTTGGGCACGCACGCACGCACACGCGCCCAGCGTGAGTTTTAAGCCACTGGGTCCGGGACACGAACCGCGGTCGACTACGTGGGAGTCCAGTGACATAGCCATTACGCTAACTGCTGGTTCCCCGGAAGAGGAATCTTTTAAAGATCCCTGAAATCAGTGATTCTTGATGTGTTACTTGAATAAATAGCACATGTATCACCTGAGAACTCATTAGAAATAATGTATTTTTTGGGGCCGGCAGGTAGCGTGGTGGTTAAAGGTGTTGGACTCCCACATAGTCGACTGAGGTTCAAGTCCGGGACCTGGTGGCTTGCTTTCTCTCTCCTCCTCCCTTCTCTCTCTCTCTCTCACTCTCTCACTCTCTCTCTTTCTTCCTCTCTGGTCATATTAAAATAAATACATAAATAAATAAAGTTCAATAAAATAATTATTTTTAAAAAAAGAAATAATGTATTTTTCGGCCCCATCATAGATCTATTGAAGCAGAACTTGGGACTGATCTGGCAATCTGTGCTTTAATTAAATCCTTCAGGTAATTATGACAAATCCTAAAGTAGGAGAGAGACAGTCTCTTTGTTTATTATGAAAGGACATGGAAATAGGGCCTTATAGGGCCAGAAGGTGGCGTAGTGGAGGCAGCTGATTCCACATGGCTGACTATGCAGTTCCAGTCCCAGACACAGAAGTTTGAGAAACACTCTGGTATGTGTGCGTTCATGCCCAGGATCTCAAAAAGAGAAATAGAGAAGAAAGGATTGTGGCCAAACCCCATTGGGAATGTGCTTTCTCACTTTCCCTCTCTGTCTCTCTATCTCTCTGGTGAATGTGCTCTGGCAAAATGAAACAAAATAAGACAAAACAAAACAAAAAAACAGGGTCTTACAGGCTCCGCTGCAGTATCAGGTACTGATTGACACTAATGTTCAACAGGCTGGGGTCTGTTTGTTTGGGAAGCCCAGGTTTGAATCCTGGGCCACCCTGAAAGCCAAGCATAGTGTCAGACACCTGTAATCCCAAATATTCAGAAGACTAAGATGGGGATCACAACATAGCAAGACCCTGTTTGGAAGGGGTGGGATTCGATTCTGATAGTAGAATTCTACTGAACCAAATTAAAAAAAAAAAAAGAGAGAGAGAGAGAATTCTTCCCAACCTTTGAAAAATTAACACGTTGGGACCAACAGTTGGCGTAGTGGCTTATATTGCAGTCCTCCATTTTTCTCTCAGGATTTTCAGTACACTCGCATACACACCTAAAGTGTTTTTTAAACCACTGCTTCTGGACCTCACACCACTTGATCATGGGGAATCAGTCACCTTAATCTTTGCACCACCTGCTAGCCCAAAGTGCTTCCATTTTTAAGTGAGGAATTCCATGCCTTTTGACAGTATGCATACCCCTGCAGTGACCACCACAATTGGGAGGGAACATTTCAGCGCCCTGAATGCTTCTCTGTAGGTGGCCCTCCCTGGGACCTCCAGCTCCACATAACCTTGGTCTGTTTTCTATCACTGTAGATAAATTTTGCCTGTTTGTTACATACCATTTGTTATTTCTTTTCACATTTGTTTTTGTTTGTTTATATTTATGACATAGGATGCGTACACTCACTGGAGAGACAGAGACAGAGAGAGGGAAAGTGAGAAATCCCCCTAGGGAAGAGGGCCGCTCCACAATTCTTCATTTTCCTCTCGAGATTCTGGGCATGCTTGCACACGTGTCCAGAGTGATTTTCAAGGCACTGATCTAGAACTTGAACTGTGGTCGGCCATGTGGGAATCCAGCACCTTAACTATCATGCCACCTGCTGACATCCATACCATTTCTTTTTTACTATTCTTTTTCAGGGACCGCACATCCCATTTTTTTTTTTTTTTTTTTTTTTTGAGAGGTGTTTTCACCATAGGGCATGTGCGCTCACCAGACAGACAGACAGAGACAGAGAAACAGAAAGCGAGAAATCACCCCCCAGAGGGAATGGCCACACCGCAATCCCTTCTCCTCCATTCTCCTCTCGGGATCTTGGGCACGCATGCACACACGCCCGGCATGGGTTTTAAGCCACCAGGTCCGGGACGCCAACCGCAGCCAACTATGTGGGAGTCCAGTGACATAGCCATTACGCTAACTACTGGTTCCCCATACCATTTCTTATAAATTAAATTGTTCAGTACGTCTGACTTAGTTCGCTTAGTATAATGGTTTGAGATCTGTACATGTTGTGGCATATGGCAATAGTTTATTCCTTCTTACTGCCTTTATTTCATTGTACAGATACTTTGTTTATCCATTTGTTTATTCTCCAGTGGACATTGGGGTTGTTTCTGGTTATTTGGTTTTTATGAATAAAGTTGCTGTGAATATTCCTGTATAAATCTTTGTGTGTTCATGCGTTTTTATTTCTCTTGGATAAATACATAGGAATGGAATTGCTAGATTGAATGGTAAGTATATACGTAATTTTTTGTATGTGGACCAGCAGATGGCCAACCGCAGTTCAAGTCTCAGACTTGGAGGTTTAAAACTCACATCAGGCACGGATACGTGTGTGCTCAAGATCCCAGGAAGAGAAAGGATTGCGATGTGGTTATCTCTCTGGAGGCAGGTGGGGGGGGCTATTTCTTGCTTTCTGTCTCTCTGTCTCTCTTTGTCTTTCTGGCAACTGCACATGCCCTATAGCAAAAATCTGTCCAAACAAACAAACAAACAAAAAACTTTATATGATACCTGCAGAACAGTTCTTCCAATTTTGACATTTTATATACCCGGAAGTAGTATAGGAGGTTTCTCATTGCTCTGTACCCTCAACCAACAGTTGTTTTCTGCACTGTTTGGCAGAAATTGAAGGATCCAAAAAGATACAGTAATATGGAGGGCAAATGTACATACCAGAAACTGTGGGAGAGGAGTGGATAGTAAAGGGTGGATAGGAGGGACTGGGGACTCTGAATTGATACAAGATTATAAAATTCTGTGTTGAAATTGAAAAGGATATATATATATATATATATATATATAGTCATGTCCTTGATTGTTACATACTGTATATGTTCCTTGAAAAACATTATGTGCAACAGAGATGTACAGTAATTGAATGTAAATAATAAATCGTGTGTGTGTGTGTGTTTATTTGCACTCACCAGAGAGAGAGAGAGAGCAAGAGAGAGAAAGTGAGAAATCATCCACTGGGAGGATAGCTATGTTGTAATCCTCCATTTTACTCAGGATTATACACAAACACACACACAGACTCTTTAGTGTATAGGAAATGTATATAGAATAAGGGAGACCTTGGAGCCACCAAATACTTTATAATTTAAAAATGTACAGAATGGGCCAGTAGGAGGTTAAGGCTGGCTGCTCGGTTTCAGTCCCAGACCTGGTGGCTTGAGAATCAAACACTGGGTGCATGTGCATGCATGCCCAAAATCCAGAAAAGAGAATGGAGGAGAAGGGATTGCAACATGGCCATCATCCTGGGGATGGGGGTGGGATTTCTCAATTTCTCTCTCTCTTTCTCTCTGGTGAGTGCATGGGACCTACAGGGACAGAAAAGATTTGATAACTTTGCCAAAGAAAATACATGGATGATCAATCAGCCATTAAAGCCACAATGAGATACATAATATATGCTAAATGGCTAACATTTAAACCACCCTGTATGTGTGTACTTTTTGAGAGTTGAAAAATAATGTTAATTTTAAACTCAAAACAACAAATCCCTTCAGATTGGATAATAACCTGTATTCCAGTCCTTTGGGCATTTTTTTCCCCTTCCCATATAGATAAGATATTTAGATAGTTCCAGAAAGGGTGTGAAGAAGTTTTCAGTGTCACTAGAAGTAAGAGAAAAGTCACTTCAACTGATAAAGGCATCTACTAAAATGTTGTAACAAGCAGTATATTTAATGGCTAAACATTAGAAGGATTCATACCAAAGTCAAAAATAAGATGGGACCAGCAGGTGGTGTGGTGGTTAAGGCGCTGGATTCCCACATGGCCAACCATGGTTTGAGTCCCAGACCTGGTGGCTTGAAAATCACAACAAATAAATAAATAAATAAATGTTAAAAAAAAAAAAAAAAAAGATATTTCTGTTGTTACTATTTTTTAAAGAATTCGTTTTATTGGCACCAGCAGATGGCGTAATGACTATGTTGTTGGACTCCCATGTACTCGACCGCGGTTCAAGTCCTGGACCCAGTGGCTTAAACTCACGGCAGGCGCGTGTATGTGCGTGCCCAAGATCCCGAGAGGAGAATGGAGGAGAAGGAACTGTAGCATGGCCATCTCCCCCTGGGGGCTGATTTCTCGCTTTTTGTCTCTTTCTCTTTCTGTCTTTCTAGTGAGTGCATTTGCCCTATAGCAAAAACTTCTCCAAAAAAAAAGATTTTAACTTTATCTGTATTTATTTATTTTAATTTCACCGGAGAGGGACAGAGTGAGAGAAAGAAAATGAGAAAACAAGCCACCAGGTCCAGGACTTGAAACACAGTTTACCATGTGGGAGTCCAATGCCCTTAACCACTGTGCCACCTGCTGGCCCTGAGATCTGTTATTATTAACATTGCATTAGAGGATATAATCAGTGCAAAAACAAAACAAAAAAAAATAGAAGACAGAATTTTTGTAATATTTAGATAATACAAATACCTGTTCAGAAAATTTGAAGGGATTTATAACCATATATTAAAAATAAATCAGAAGTCTAATATCAATTAGCAAATTAATAATCCAATAAAAAAGTCACAAAATCTACAAAGTGCTGAAAGTGTCTAGGGTACAGATGTACAAGCAACATTATTGATGAAAAGTAAAGTTTTCAGGAGAGAATTATGGGCAGGAGGGTTAGCAATATCCTGGCACGGAGCTCCAGAAGCCCTGTGATTGATTTCCTGAGTGATAGGGGTGATACAGCTATTGTTGTGATATTTCATCTTAGTCTGTAGTTCTGACAAAAGAGCTGCTAAGATTCTTGGCTTCTCCAGAGTGATGAGCACCTTATTGTGTATTAGCAAGATGACTAGTGGCTGACAGCACCCAGACAACTTCAGGGTGGGGACTGGTCACCAGAAAGACCAAGGCAGGATTAGAGAGCTAGAACTTTCAGTTTCACCCCTTGACTTCTAGGGTTAAAGGGCTGGAGATGAACTTGACCACCAATGGTCAATAACTTAATCAACTATGCCAACCTGATGGTGCCTCCATAAACAATCCCTGAATGGGGCCAGCAGGTGGCATGGTGGTTTAGGTGCTGGACTCCCATGTGGCCAACTGTGGTTCAAGTCCCAGACCTGGCAACTTATTTTTTCACTTTCCCTCTCAATCTCTCTCTCCATCTTTTTTCGAGTGAGCACACACGCCCTATAGCAAATTAAAATAATAAATAAATAAATAAAACTAAATAAATATTTTTTTAAAAATCTTTGAACTACTAGGTGTAGAGCCTCTCTGGCTTGGTGAACACATCCACATGCCAGGAAAGTGGGACGCCCCAGACTCCACAGGGGCAGAAGCTCTGTGCTTGCTCAGGTCCTTTCGGGACCATACCCTAAACGCCTCTTCATCTGGCTGTTCATCTTTATCATTTGTACGATCCTTTCTAATAAAGTGGTAAACATACATAGTTTCCCTGAGTTCTGTGATCTCTTATGGCAAATTACCTAACCCAAGTAGAGGGTTTTTAGGAATCCACGATTTGTAGCCAAGTTGGACAAAAGTGTGTGGGGGGGCAATTTTGTGGGACTAACACTTTCACCTGTGGGGTCTGCACTAACTCTGGGTAGTGCCTGAGTTGAACTAAATTAATTGTAGGACACGTAATTGGTATCCACAGAGACCTGGAGAACTACTCAGTGTGGAAAACACACATTTGATGCCAGAGAAAAGGATTTTCTTAGAGGTTGTAAGAACAGCTTAGTTCTAATTATTGAAAATAAGCACACAATACTCTTGAAATGACTTTTAAAAGTATAAGCCCAGGGAACCAGTAGTTGACTCTATAAATAAATAAAAATAAAACTTGGGGGCCAGTGGATGGTGTGGTGGTTAAGGCGCTAGAATTCCCACGTGACTGATCACGGTTCAAGTCCTGAACCTGACTGCTTGCTCTCTCTCTCTCTCCCTCCCTCTCTTTCTCTGACAAAAACCCATGTGAAAAAATAATAATAAATAAGTGAATAAAATAATTAAAAAGATAAAAATAAATAAAACTCGGGGCAGCCTGTAGCTTGATGGTTAAGGCAGCTGACCCCACATGGCCAACCACCAGTTCAAGTCCAGAATCCAGCGGCTTAAGAAACACACCAGGTACGAGTGCTTAAATGCTCAAAATCCTCTCAGAGAGTACTACCTCAATTTCTCTGTTTCTCTCTCTCTCTCTTTCTCTGTGTCTTCTGTGCATGTGCCCTATAACAAAATTTTTCAAAAAACAAAACAACAAAAATACAATGATGTGAAAAGATCTATGCTTGGACATGGTAGTTTGAACTTTCATAACCCTAAGGATAAAATAGATTCTAAAATGTACCAGAAAGACAGAAACTGCCACCATCAGAGGAATAAGACCTACACTAGCACCATTAACTATTAACTGATCTTAACAAACTAGAATAAAATACTTCCTATTATGGGACTTGGTAGGTTTTGTAATTCTTTCTGGGTCCTGACTGAACTCTGTTGACCCAACCCTGTGGAGCATTTACTGGTGACATCTCTCTGCAATTTCCGGTTCTAGTTCCTCAAATATTTTCTTACTTCTTCCCATGAAAGGACAAAGAATACTCGTGCCTAAGCCACACTCTCTCCTTCCCTGGCCCGCTTAACATTTCCACTTGACTGGGATTCCTAATACACCTCTAGGTAAGTAAATTATCATCTCTGCCAAAGCTGCTTTTCCTTCACACCTAAACTATGACCCCTCCCCCCCCATTTTTCTCCCTCTTACTCTTCTCTCTTTGGAGGCAGGCTGACATGGAGGAAAGACAGACGCAGGAGTCACACAGTCTTGGGTTTAAATTCTAGCTCCATAACATGGTTGCCTCCAAGGCACTCAGCATTAGCAGTCAGAGAATATTAGAGCTGGAGAGGGACATGGAAATCATCTCTCTTCCCAGAAATGTCCTTGCGACCAGCCAAACTGACCACTGAATTTTTGTGTCAGTACACAACTGATCTCAGCTGGTCTGCTGCAACCCTGTACTCATTTATCTTGGGGGGAGGCCTGGAGTCTTGGTGTTGTCCATTGGCTAAACCCGAATGAAATGTACTAAACTAGTGGTTAATGTACCTGTGCTTTGGTGTGAGCCAAACGTGGGGTAAGGGAGACCAAGATGGAGGGTTTATACCAACTTGTTTTTGTTTTTAAGCCTGATTATGCATCCTGGTGATGCAGTTTTGGTCACCTGACCAGAGCAGTGAAAAAGACCCCTTCTCAGATGAGGTTGTTGTGTTCCTGAGAATGAAGTATCTAGGTGGCTCATTACCTAAAGATAAAGCACATCTTTCGGTAAGAAGTGTGACTAAGGCCCCGAAGAACTGCTCCTGATACTTCCCTCTGCTTTTTTTTTTTTCCCTCTGTACTTATCTTTACCTTTACTAAAGACTTATGTAAGTCCAATTGACCCTTGAACAATGCAGGGGATTAATGTAACTTTTGACTTCCCAAAAACTTTACTGATATCATACTGTTGACTAAAAACCTTACCAATAACACAGCTGATTAACACCTACTTTGTATGTTATATGTATTGTATATTATAATAAGCTGGAGAAAATAAAGTTTTATTAAGAAAACTATAAGGAAGAGAAAATACATTTATAGTACTAGATTTTCTAATACATTTGTTGAAAAAAATCTATAAGAGTCAGCAGGCAGTGTGGTGGCTAAAGCACTGAACTCTTACATGGGACCATGGTTTGAGTTCTGGATCTGGCAACTTGCTTTCTCTCTCTCTCTCTTGCTCTCACTCTCTCTTTCTCTCTCTGGTGAGCACATGTGCCCTGTAGCAAATTTTAAGAATAAAATTAAAGGGACCAGCAGTTAGCGTAATGGCTATGTCGCTGGACT